GTTCAGCAGAACGTTTGTTTTGCAACTGTTGGAAGTTTCCTTCGCGCAGATTGGATCATACTTTTAGATCTAGAAGAATGGTCCTATCTCAGCAGACAATCATAAAACGGTTGCAAAACTGTTGAGTCTGCTGAACGCAACCAATGGGTGCGTTCAGCAGAACGTTTGTTTTGCAACTGTTGGAAGTTTCCTTCGCGCTAATTGGATCATACTTTTAGATCTAGATCTACATTTAACGCAAATTGTTTCAATGCAATATTAAGAAAATTTGCGTGTATCTTCATGTAAAGAATGTACGAATATTATCAATCTTTATTTAAATACGAATCATTAAAAATAATAATGAAAATTGTGGAGACATAACGTTGAAATATCAAAAATATCATCTACGCGAATAATTACTAATTACGTTTCAATTGAATAAACCGTGAATATTTTTTCATACGCGACAGTAGGATGTCCGAACGGCGAGCAGTGAGGGGGGGGTCGAGCGCTTAGCGCCAGCGGAATAACGAGGAGTGGGATCGCGTCGCGCGGCGCGGTGGCGCACTGCGTCGTCATTTCGGCATTCGCTCGGCGATTTCGGAGGAAGACGGCTGCGTTACGAGTCGCTCCGGATTTCGCATTCATTCATGCAAATTACAGATCAGGTAAATGTCCCAATAGCCGGACGTTTAAGCGTTAAATTCTCATAAATGATACGATTTATAATATTAACGTACATTTATTACGAGATAAGTAAAGTTATATCTTTTACATTTTTAATATTCTCTGACAAATAGGCTTTATTGCACGGTTTTTGCTTTACTTCTTACATTTGTTTCGCACACACTCAGCTCATGAATATTTTGGATATTTCAATCGTGTTACAACAAGCGATTATTAGTTTGTAATATCTTTTTGTTACACGAAATCCGCACGATGTACTGAATATTTTTAACAAAAGATTAACGCATTGAGAGTTATTCTAGTTAAAGGATACGCACGCATTCTATTATTTATTTCAATGTTTTAATTAATAATTGTTATAAGTGGTTTCAAATAATCTTTCCTTGCTTAAAAGAGAGGAAGTCTTGAGTTTTCAAATGAATATGAATATTTATATTAAAAACCTTTTTGATTTATAAAAGGTTTTTAATATAAATATTCGTATTCATTTGAAAAGACTCCCTTTTAAGCAAGGAAAAATTATTTAAAATTATTTAATATTTTAAATAAGTTTCCGGAAACTGTTTTATATTTTTTACTTTAAACAAGTCATATCAATTTTTTCACCGATTCCTACGATTTTATATTTTAAGTAAGTTTCTGGAACTTATTTTATTCTATTATTTTAAATAATTCGTAACAGTTATTTTACCGAACCGTTGTCGGCATTATATATACATAAGTTTATAGAATATCTAAAACACAGAGTAATTTGCAGCAATAGTAGCGTCTTAAATTAATCTTTTAGATGAAAAATTAAATAATGTTTAACGAGATATTTAATACTTTTAGTCAAAAAAGTTGCATTTAAGACAAATTATTTCAATGCAATATTAAGCAAATTTGCGTGTATCTTCATGTAAAGAATGTACGAATATTATCAATCTTTATTTAAATATTAATCATTAAAAAAAAAAATAATGAAAATTGAGACATAACGTTGAAATATCAAAAATATCATCCACGCGAATAATTACTAATTACGTTTCAATTAAATAAACCATGAATATTTTTTCATACGCAACAGGATGTCTGATCTGAACGGCGAGCAGCGAGGGGGGGCCGAGC